CACTCCATTCACTCCTGTCTCTCTTCAATCTTCTTGCCATTATGTGCACAGCAGGGTTTCGTTTCAACAAAATTGGTGTGGCACTGATGTCTAAGTGTTGAGACTAAGTGACATTATTTATCATCCAAGGACACATGTAAAGTGCCATTCTTTCTCCAGAAGTCTTTAGTGTTCTCTTCAATATACTCAGCTATTGCTGAGTACCCCAAGGAATGTTACTTCTAGAATTTAAACTTTTGTGCAACCTTTTTCATATTCTAGAACAGATTTATATTTATGCAAAAGAACTGTCAAGACCCGAATTACTGTTTATGCCAGTATAGACAATATTTTAAGTTGATAAGAATGAAACTGGAGACTTTTTCAAAGTGAAAAAAAAAATTCATGATATAAAAGCCATCACTTAGCGAGAATTTACTCCAAATAGACACTTCGATAAAAGCTATTTTCATTACCTTGTATTGTCATCGCATTCAAAAATATGCCAACTAATGATGCAGAAGCTTAAAAACATTAGTGACAATGTGTCCATGGCGAGTGAACAATGGATGTCCTCACGGCCATGTGTCTCTTGGGTTGTATTTGCCATATGTTGTATTTCTTTTCAGCAGGAATGGGGCACAGCACATCCAGATAGAGAAGACCCCACTTATCCCATGGTTTAACATCGTTTCTTGCATTCTTTCCTCTTCCCTGTTTTATGTAAACTAAAGGCTTATACAAAGTTAAACACTGCAGCCCTTGGCATCTTTCCCATGCCAAGAGCAGTCATGTAGAATAGAAAAAGAAAAAGATGAGGCAGCCTCCAGGCAAGGACGAGATCTTCTAGCACATATAATATCAAAGACCTGTTTTCTGGGCAGCCTGTTTCTGCTTTTCTCTTTCTAGTGTCCCCAGAGGAAAGTGACAGGCGTGGAAGCAGGTTTTTCTGTTTGAAAATGTTTCCTCTCTGGCCATTCTGGAGATTGTATGAGGTGTTTGCAATTTAAGTTAGCTTAACTATGTTGCTATTGGACCCAATTACCTTGATTGATTTAGTAATTGCTGTAAGAAGTTGTTATAAATAATGGATAACAAATTGTGGATTTGTCTTAATGGAGAATGTGGAGAGAAGAAAATGGATTTTGAGATACCGGACTAAAAAGCTAATTACGTTTGATGCACAATGGGAAAAGGCAGAATTTAATGTTCACCTGCTGTACTGTATGTTCACGGACTGCAGTGTTAGAACAAGAACCGGCAGAGTGTTGGGTGGAGGCAGCTTGGCATTGCTAGGAGACTCTGGGAGTGAGAAGGCCTACAGGCACAGATGGAAGAAATGCCACTTTAGCGCTAAAGGGAAGTAGTTTCTGCCCACAGCTTGACATCTGTACTTCCAGATAATCCTGTAATTCTGACCTTTAGAAGATTAAAAGATAAAAAGCTTGCCAGTACTCTTAATAGAAACCATAGTGAGGACAGCAAACCACAGCCTCCAGAAGAAACTAGGAAGAGGCCAGGCAAATTCAGATAGCATCAAGGAGCAATGAGCGTAAGGTTTTGGCTTCCTCCCAACATTGTCTTCTAATAGTCTAAGTCGATGACCAGTAAGCTTAGAAGGAAAGCGGGCAATGTAAAGGCCAGTCAGTGAAAAGAACCCTGAAAACACCCAGTCTCTAGACTGTAGTGTGACTCTCAGTGGCTCCAAGGTCCCCCAATACAACCACAGCAGTTTTGAGAAAGAGTCGCAGTACTAGGTCTGTATCCATCTCAAAGGATAAAGCGAGGGCTACTGAAGCTGAGAGGGGGGAAAGACTAGCTGACCAAAGAAATGACTGCCGCTAGCCCAGAGAGTCCTTGCCATGGTTTCTAGCAGAATGTGAGACTTGGGATAGATCAATGTGTCTCTGAAATTTTAAAATAGTCTTTTCTTGAAGGGAAATTTTCATGATAATCATTGTATTTCTTCCCCCACTTTTACTTGACTGGGTGACATCCTATCTGTCTTTTAGTAGGCACAGGAAATTGGGGGCAGGCACCCGTTAGTAAGATACCACACTGCCAGACATACAACTTGAATTATATCTAAATTGGGCATCATTGGGGGAAAACTTGGGATGTCTCTACTGAAACAGATTTAATTACAGAATACTATTCCTAAAACAGGGTGTGGAGAAGCCACCAAAGGATGGATAACAGCCAAATGACTTCGTTCGTATTCCAATCAAATGCCCATTTCTTTGCTTATTACAAAGCCAACTAATTTGTTTGAGTTGACAGTGAACTCAAACAAAAATCTGAGATGCTTCTGACCATTGAGAAAGTGCTCGTACGCAAGAATTTCTGTGCGATCTGACTTTTCCAATTTGCATACCATTCCCAAAGACGGACACTTTAACACCCTTTCTCTTTCTTCATGCATAAATCCCTTCTTGAATAGAGGAATGACTTCATGGCTAACCTAAATAATCAAGTACTACAGGAGTCACATCTGAGAACGCCTTGGATGTCATATAAAACTTTTCATTGGCAAAACTTAAAGTCACATAATGGTAAGATGCTCCAACAATGCAGAAAACAGCCAAGGGGTGTGGGTTAAGCTATAGTCCTTTCACATGAGGGTTGATGCAGGAGGACTGCCATTACTCTGAAACTATCATGAGATTTATAGTGAGTTCCAGACTGGCTAGGGCTTGTGTGAGACCCTGTCTCAACAAATAAATAAATATCAAAACAAAAAACAGAAATGGAGAATGGTTCTAATAATTCTTATGCCATGGAGAAGTATCAACTAGTTTCTATAGGATCCACAACATAAAGTATATAAAATTATGACCTTAGGGTAGGGTTCTGATCAATCGTGCACTTAGAAAAACTTTTATTGACACCTCCATGGGAGGGAGACGTATAACATGAACAAATAAACAGATAAAGCAAACTCCTTTAACTCAAGACCTGCAGACTTCAACCAGACAAATGGCAAGGCGGCATGAAGACTAAACCACAACACAGAGAACCCCTCTATAGAAAACATATAGATAACGTTATCTACGGGGTGGGTGAGGGATGGGAGAGTAAACCCCAATGAGAATGAAGGAGGGGTCTCAAATTTCTATTAACATAGAGCAGGTCCAGGCAGTTATTAAAATCAATATAACCCATATAACCTTATTGAAAGGAAGGTCTTAGAGCTGAGTGTCAGCAGCCCAGAGGACAGACCAAGTGGCACAGATCCAATTCCTTGGAGCACAATTAGAACCCAGCCAAGCAGTGACATGTGCTGGGAAATCAGTGTGACAGGAAGAGCTAATTACTGAGTGCTGTTTCAGCACCGCCAGAACAAGTATCAAATGTTCTCATGATAAACTATGCTTTAGAGATGAGAGACAGCTTAAGACATGCAATGTAACAATCCAATATTGTATTAAACCAAAATGCCACTTAGCAGTCCATATATATATGCATGATTTTTTTTAAGCTATGATTACATTGTACCTTTTATAGAATTTGAATTTTTAATGAACTTCAAACCTGTGTATCTCCCTTGTACTACTGACTGTTGAACAGGTCATTTCTCTCTTTGGTTTATACTTCTCTTGTTAACGAGAAACCATCTTTTTTGAGGAATTGCATCTAAGTTCTTTAACTACACCCAAGCCCCTGATCTGCCCTTTAAATTTAAATGTATAAATCCTAAGGGATAAGCTACACCCTAAATGGGATATAATGTGGGCAACAGTGGAGAAAGACTGGCCTGTTGTGCAGATAAGGGGGTGTGAGTTCTGGCAGTCAGACAGGCTATAATGGTGGTCTCCCAGACTGGCCACCACTGGATTCCTTCTGGTGTGTGTGTTTGTGTGTTGCTTCTCACATGATAAACAGGCAGACTGTAGCTTCCTTCACTTTAATCTTGGTGACAGGCTTAACAAATAGAATGTGCCAGAGGCAATGTTCACACACATCTGAACTGAAATCCTAAGAGATGTTGCTGTTTTTTCACATTTCTCTTAGGAAGATCTCAGAATCCAGTTGCAAAATCCATGTTAAGCGTTTGAGTTGAACTCTCCACCAACAGTCAATATCAGCTCCCAGACTCGTGAGCAAGCTGCTCTGACATCCCAGTCCAGGTGAACACCAGAGGGCCACAACCCCAGCCACAGTCTGCTGTACCACATGAAATATTCCAGGTAGATAGAAAACAAGACCTACCCATGAAAGGAGAGAAATGTGACAGGGACACTGTAGAAAATAGTGACAACACTTTTTAGCGTATTTGAAATATGACAGGCCTGGGTTATATTTAAATATAAAACCATTTTTCTTCTGATCTTGTTCTCGTTCTTAGAGGAGTATCTTAAGGAATGGGAGTAGCTCTAGCATCAATACAAGAAGGGCAGAAATGAAATTATTCATCGTCATGAGGTAGTAGCCTATAAAATAGCATTTGAGGCAGATTTCTTGAAAATATAACACAGAACAGAACTAGAGGTCATAAAGTATAGCTGATAAATTAAAATATAAACCCTTTTTGGAAGCCAGTCTGACTGGGGACTATCCCATTCTGTCACACGTTTGGATGATCTCACTAATCCTATGAAGCAAGGGCACTCATGACCTGTGCCTTTTCTCTAAGTCTTCTATAACTTAAAATATGCAAAATCAGACCGTGGTGAGATTAGATTTGCTGTGAGAAAATGAAGCTAATCTCTACGTAAATTTCTGACTTCAAAGTCTACAGATGGAATATTTCAATCTCTTGATCTCTAAGAAAAGTCATACTTAGAGTGATATAATCTGACTTGTAATTAACTCTCATATTGAACTACAAATGCCTTTGAAATTCATAGATTTCCAAAATATCTCATCTCTAAGAAGATATTCCTCCACCTTTGCCCCATTTATCCCTAGACTCAAACTCAGAGAATCTTCTACCTTTTGCAGGAATTATAGGTGTGAAGCACTAACCTAGGGAAAAATACATTTTGAACTAAGTATATAGAGACAATATAGAAACACACAGGTTAATATATAACAATGCAAGGTTTATTTTGTAAACAGATCCTGTCTGTACCACTTAAATAATTTTAAATTACATTTATTCTTTTGCATACAATAGCACAGACAATTTCTACTCTTTAAAAACTCAAAAATAACATAACAAATTTGGCTTTTTCCCCACAAAAATGGGACATTTTTAGTAAAGTAGAATTTTAATTATTATTTCATACCATTTAGTTGAGGCTTATAGTTCTTTAAATTATGACACTGACAAAAATAATTAACAACAATTGATTAGTACTTAAAAGAAAACAAGTTATACGAATATGGTGAAAGGAAGGGACAAGCTCCTCAGTAAACACCACGTTAAAATAATCTTCAAATGGAAAATCCTGTGCAGTACTGTCTGTCCCTAACACCATGGAGCCCAGTACCAGAGCCGTTCCAAATATACAAAGATATAACAAAATGATACAGTATTTATTGCAGCAACAACAAATTAAAAGATGTCATAATGTATGCAACTTAAATCCCGCCCCCCCCCTCGATAGAGTGGCTTCTTATTCCTTAGACATAGAAATCTGTTCTCAGTAGAAATATGAAGTCTTCTCATGAAAGGCACACTCTCACCTGTAAGACGAATGAATACGTACATAAATAACGCTTCCGTATAAAGCCTAAAAGCATCTAAATATTCAGAAGTTTTGAGGGGAATAACATAAAGCTTAAAAAAAATCTTTATTGCAAGCCACTATGACTGAGTAACACTATCATTATTAATTGCCTTAGTTGTTTTCCTTTGAATGGTAATTTTAACTATTCAGTCATTTTACATATAATATCCACTGAGTCATAGAAGCCCATATCTATATTCATAATAAAGTTTCCTCACAGAACATTAACAAATGATTTCAATTGACTTCAAGCAATATAATCTTTTCACTTGTTTTATAGTTTCTATAAATACAGTTCTTTAATTCTGCTTCTCAGCTTTCAAAGCACAATCAAAAGCTGTAAGTCTCAAATCACACTCAATGAAACAACATATTTTAAATATTTGTAGTATGGTAACAAAAAAATCAGATAAAAGACAAAGCTTTGCTGGGTGTGGAGGATTGCCATAGATTCATGACTAGTCAGGGTATTTAGTCAGACCCTGTTTTACACAAGCAACCAAACAAACAAAAGACACATTCTTCCATAAACACATACATTGGGATGTCTGTTCATGTTTCTTTTAAATACTTATAGCAATGTGAATCTTCACTCATTCTATCCTCACTGGACCATGTGAAACAGCTCAAAACACTGCAGCTTGGCTCCTTCTTAAGTCTAGAAGGGAATAACTTACAAACCATGGGGTCACCTAGAGCCGAGTGGTGAGAGCTGTGTCTATGAACACGCTCGTTTGGGCAGAGACAGGCATGGAAGCTGGAAAATAATTAGGACAGGCTGTAGTCACTGCAGGCAGGACTGCCAGCATGGCCTGTCCTATGAAGAGGGTCACACCATGAGATGGATGGAATGATGTCCTAGCCAAGCGAGATGCAGTAATTTCTGTGATGATAGAAGTACAACTGCAATCAAACGCTGCCAATTATTCCAAAGAGATGGAAAATGCACAAGTACTTGGGAGATGGTAGTAAAAACACTTGCATGAGTATCATTACACTGTCAGAGTTCAATTAGCACCTTGTTTAGACATTTTAGTGGTCAGCCTAAAAGCAACAGGGCTTTAGACTAGTAAGGAATGGTTTGAATCTCTACAGAACTCATGCTGATTGGAAAGGGACAAAAGATGGGTAGAATCTTTTATTTAAACAAAGCAGTCAATGCTCTGATAATTTCCAGTGCACTTTCATGCAGCTATGTGACATACAATGGCCTGAATGTGCCAAGGTGAGGATAGCTTTAAAACAAGTTTTTAAAGCATTTTTTTGTTGTTGTTTAATCACCTAAATATACTGAAGTAATTATTTTTAGACAGGATCAGAAATCCTCCTGTGTCAGTCTCCAAGTTCTAGGATTCTGGCATGATGTGCCATGCTTTTTACAATTATTATTATTAAGTCTCATATAGCTAAAGATGCCTGAGAATTTCTAATCCCCCAGCTGTACTTGTGAAGGTACCCAAGGCTTGGAAGTCACTCAGAAGACACAGGAGATCTTGACCTGAAATGAACGCCTCTTTTCTAAAACACCATTTTGGCCAATTGGTTGCTGAAGTTCTAAACCATTTTGAATTGAATCTAACTATAATTTGCAAGGGAAGATTACTGGTGAATTTTAATAGTGGTCTTCAAAATGTGAGCAGGCAAACACTACAAAGTGGGAAGCAGGGCCAAGTGTTTGGCACGCAGTCAACCTTCATTATGTGACAGTAACTTGGCAAGAATAATCCAGCCCAGGAGGCTGGCCTAAGCCATTCCCCTAGCTGCACATGTCAGCCCACCACGTTTAATTGTTTGGTGTATGTCACAGCACTTTTCAGTCACCCAACTGTAAATTGACAGCCCTATAAAGTCCTGCTAATTATTGCACTTGTCAAAACCTAAATAAGATCTGTTTTCTGATACAGGCTGATACAAACAGGTAGAAAGCATTTGATGACTAGGTATCTTCAGGTATAAATTATAATAGACATACAACATTGAAGTAGCAGAGTGAAAGTAGTAAGGAAGCAAATTTAAGGCTTTAAAATGGCATGTTTGACACAAATTACTGGCATGGCATTAAAATAACATTAGTGCTAACTTTTACAAGTCATCACCTTAATTTCAGAGTTGTCTTCTAGTACATTATTTTTGATAGAAGTTAAACTTAACACCACTAATATATTATTTCTATTTGTTGTTTGTACTATAAAATTATTTTAAGCTTCCAACACTACAGAATCTCAATTTTTTCCAGAAAAATTAATTTTTTTGTTTAGTTTAGTGATAATAGGCTCTCTGTTCTGTCTCTGTCTCTCCTTTGCCGGGAAAAGGTAATTCCAAATCCGGTTGAAAGCCTCTGATAACCTTACATAGCACAAGTCACTCCTTCATTTGCAGGATTGAACTCACCTTGCTTCTTACTCTGTGCACCTCTAAAACCTCCAGAGTAATCATCAAAACGGCTTGTGGAGCCCAGTCCCAATGGATACATCTACAACACTGTCCCCACCTAAGGCTCAGGGAAAACTGCAGAAGTAGAATGATTGTAAGAGTAAGAGGATCAGGGAATTTGATGTGAGACTGGGTCTCCTAGTAACATCAGAAACTACACACCCATAAAATCTACTGACATGGCTATCCAAATCTGACCTGAACATGGATGACACAAGTTAACATGATGAACTGGACAAAGAAAAGCCCAGGAAGCTTCTGCAGCGGGGAGGAGCTTGATCCTGCTTCAACTTGATAAGCCATGCTTTGTTGACTCCCATTGGAGGTCTTACCCTATCTGAGGAGTGGTCAGGTAGAGTTAGAAACGAGGTGTGGGGGGATGCAAGGAGAGGAGAGAGGGAAAACTGAGGTTGGTATGTAAAATAAAAAAATTAAAATAAAAGAATAAAGGCCCACAAAGCCTCAACCTTACACAAAGAACTACAGAACTCCAGGTAACTGAGGAAAAGCAGTGAACAGGAGCGGTGACCTTCTCCAGCAGAGTGTATACCAACTGGTTATCTAGGAAGTTATCCACTTTTTTTCTAGGTTACAAAGTTGATGGCATATAATTATACATAGTGGTTTTCTGAGCTTTCTATTTCTGAAGCTTCACCTTCACAACAATTGAACTTTAGGTAGTTACTTCTGCCTGCTGCAACCTTTTCAGTGATGACTTCCTGGATGAGTTAAGAGTTGAACACGGCTTACGCTCTGAAGGGCACATTTCATCATGGTGAAAAAGGATGGCAGCAGAAGGAATGTGGGGTGGCTGTTCACATTGTATCCACAGTCAGGAAACAGAAAGTGGGAGGGAAAAGGAAAGGATATTGCTCCAGTGACAGTATCCTACTTGCTAAGCCAAGTATCTACTGGCTAACGGTTTCACAAGCCCAAGAAAACAATGCTGCCAGCGGAAACCAAGTGTTCACACATGACTGTAGTAGCATATAGAGGATGTTTCACATTCCATCTACAACCTGCTTAATAAAGATACACTGAGTTCAAATTGAGTTCTTCTTTGGAGGTAATCATGTACTGTTAATTTCATTTTATGTCTTTCCTTTCTATGAATTATGGAGCAGACATCTCAAAAGTACCTAGCATAATTAAATACAGTTATTATCACTGCAAATTATAATAATAATTCTGAAACGATTCTAATGCCACTGTTTTACTTAACACTTTCACATGGAGCCCGAGAAGAGGTCATTGTCTATTTACTCAGTAAGCCTTTGTTCTCAACGCTACTTCATATTATTTTCTTTTGATTCTAATATAAACATAAGTACGTATTACATACATTGACTTTTAATATAAGCTAACAAATTTACCTGGCACATACTTCAAAAAGAGACAACCAATAAAACTAGTCTTACCCACTAAAAAATACAGGCTCTTGCCAGTCCTCATTAGTCCATCAGAACCAGATAAAGATAATATGCATTGCTGAAGATGGCACACATTGAGATGCATGATAAAAAGAAATGGAGCTAGAACTCAGCCACAAGTTTTCCTCACTGACAGCTTTCACAGGGCGGAAGGGGACTATGGAGACTGCTGCTTGACTTCTCTACCATTAGCTGTTAAAGTGTTATCCTGTATCTGGCACTGAGAATTTTCTTCAGTAAATAATAGCTTCCAGGAGTGATGCCAATCAGCTATGTAGGGTAACTCCATCCTAAGAACAGAAACCCCTGGGACTGAAACAAAGGTAACAAAAACTGGACTACTCAATTCTATATCAATACAAAGTCAACCAGCATAAATCCTAACAACTACAATGGCCACCTGCAGGGTATGCCCACCAGTGCAATACTATGCTGGTGTTATAAACATAGTAAAAATAAGCAAACAAAGACAAAAACCCACAAAGTGAGGAGCTAGGCAGCATAGGTCCTACCTGGAGATTCGCTACTGGCTACTGTTGTTTAGGTAAACTGACATGGAACCAAAGTGTGTTCTACACATCTGTCCGTACCCACAGACAAGTGTTACTCTTATCCTTAATCACACTGAGTGCAGAGTCACTGCACTCATGGTTTGACATGGTCAAACAATAAATTTTGTCAAGTAAAAGAAAGATTTCTGTGCTCTCTGACTTATGTGATTCTAGACTCTTTCTCTTAGCATATGTTTCCTACACATTATAACCCTCGCTGCCTCCCGTCATTCCAGTTGCAGACATTATCACATAACAAACTCCTTAGGAAAATCTTGACATGTCATGAGACTAGATCTGAATACAGACATCACAACTACACCAAGAGACAACAAACCTCAAGTTTTATAGTTCTGTCAGGAAGTACTATTGGCAAATCAAATAAACCAAACAATAAACAAAACCATTTCGGGATGTAAAACTAAGAGCAAGCTTACTAAATATTTCTCAAAGATAAACATATGCCAAAATAATGAATACTACAAGAATGAAAGATTTCAAACCCAAAACACTGCAAAGAAATATGCAAAAAGAAGTCTAACTTTAGGGAATGTATATTGTTGGTTACACCCAATTTAGCAAAGATATGAGATCTGGACTTGGCAGGACAAAGGACAACATAGAACAGAAATCAACAAAATTTGCTAGAATAGAGACTATAAAATATTATCGGACTTCAGTTATCTGAACAAAGATCTGCATCTCTATTTACTACCGCACTAACTCACCTTCTAGGATGATTGGCATCAAACAGTGTGTTGTCATCATCCTCATCATCTTGCTCTAGAGGAGTCAATTCCATGTTTTCTATGTTAGTGTCCAGAACTCCGTATCTCCTAGTTTTGCGATTTCTTCTTCTCATCCTATTAAATCGAACAAATAAATTAATAAATTATTTTTATTAGCTTAATCATTACTTAATATGTAATTATAAATTAAAGAAAGTACCCATGTTTCCTACCAAGCACACACTCAGTACAAAATGATTATAATAATTTATTAAATGACTAAACATTCATTTAGCACCAAATTAAATATGAATTAGAACAATCAACTGAGCACCAAAGATTATTAGTACTTCCTTAAATACATCTATTTCTATATATTCGTATGGCTTCAACTTTTCTCCTGTCTAGCATACTTTCTACCCTCTTCAACTTCTGTGAACTGTAGTTGAGAGGTAATTTATTATTGTTGTGTGTCAGTGAATGAAGCTTGTGTGGATGCCCACGTAAGCCAGAAGGATGAGGGCTTCATATCCCTTGCAGTTGTAGTTACAGTTGGTTCTGAGATGCTCCACATGGGTGCTGGAAACTGACCTCAAGGTCCTGTGAAGAGCAGCAGTACTCTTGACTGCCGAGCCATCTCTCTAGCCCTATGAGATAACTTTTTAAGCCTTACTTCAGATATTAAATTTAATTCCAGCCTTTATCTTATGTCCTTGATTCCATCTTATTAACAGACACAAATAAGCATTGCTGTTACCACCAAAAAGTCAGATAATGGAAGTCCTAGACATATACTCAAATTTAGATTAGTGGGTCATAACCTGTACTACATATTAGAATAATCTAGGATTTCAAAAATTATCACATTAGGGCCATAATTAAACCAAAATTTCCAGGACTAGAGACCAAGTGTCACTAAGCTGATTTCTGACTCAGTGATACAAAACTATGAACCTGCAGCCAATGCCCAAGGGGTTTCCAACTCAATAGCTTCAACACATAGCAAGCAGTCCTGCATAAGAACCTTTTGGAGAACAGAAACAAAACAAAATATTTCAGCAAGTAATCACAAATGAAATTTGTTTTACTGAAAACTATAATGTATATATAAATCAACACACAAACATGTATATTTGTACACATTCATATGCATCATGGAGAACAGGGTCTTAACTTTTCCTGTTATTTGGGTTTTATGGGCCAATATGATTTTTGCCATATTTTGTCTTAGTACTTTTGTTTATAATCTTTTAAAAAAATTCTTGTGCTAGGACTTTACAAGAGCTTGCTGGCAGATAGAATTTACCTTGTTTGCTAAGATTAAACTTGGTCTTGTTAAAGCACTTGGAAACTAAAAATGATTACTTTGGAAAGAAGAACAAAGTTAAGGAAAGTATTGGTCCTTTTTCACTTAATGGCTGCTAATGAAGAAGCTCCTTAAATAGCTGTGATGTTTCCCATGCTGTCCTGTGATTTGAAAATGAGTACACAGTGAGTGAAGAATTATGCAGCGCACATTGTGGATACTGACAGTCTCACCAGAGCCTCATCTCTTTGGCAATTCTTTCAGTGAGTTTTCTAAATCACATGACTTCCCAGTCCAGAGTTTTCAGTCAATGAGGAACTTGATGTCATGTGAAGTTATCTTGGGTAACAAATTTCTCCCAGGTTATGTACATGAAATGGGTACCATGCTAGTAACCTGGATTAACCTCAGCTGATGCTTTATCTAGAACTAAATGCTATGGGATAATTTTTGTGAACACTGTATGTATTACTTTCATTGGTTAATTAAAAAAAAAAAAAGCTGTTTAGCCTATAGCAAGACAGGATAAAGTTAGGTGGGACAATCAAAATGATGACTGGGATGAAGAAGGGTAGAGTAGAGAGTAGAGAGAGAAAGCCACTCAGCTGCCAAGAAAGCAGGATGGTAGAAATGAGGGAACAAGCCACAAGCTACATGGCAGTACAGAGATTAGTAGAAATGGGTTAATGTAAATTTAAGAGCTAGTTAGTAATAAGCCTGAGCTATAGGCTAAACACTTGTAATAATATAAGCTTTTGTGTGGTTATTTGGGAACTGAAGAGAGAAAGAGAAAGTCCATTTCCAACTAAAGTCATCACAAATTGAATGATTTGTTTTTAATTTTCAGAAAAAAAAAAAAACAATAAATGCAGCTGTCTAACATTGTATCACAGTCCTGGACTGATTTAGGGATTTTTTATCAGTTTATGTGTTCTCTAGGCATATTCTTGCCATAGTTTACATTGTAGATTTATTTAGTAATATATGTAAATACTACCTTTCAAGAATCTCTTCAAAACAAGAATCTATTTCTTAGAGACAGAATGGTTAAGTGGGAGGGGCATCTTGATTAAAATAAATTTACCATTTAATGTATGTATTAACTCATAAAAGGATTAATAGATTTTAAAAGTTCTTTATTAAAATAACAACTTAAATGCTATTTCTCTAAAAATGTCTTTCCTCATTCTAGAGATACATGCAATGATGGCTACATGGTCATGGCAGCTACATCCCAAAAAATATCAACTGCTGTACATACTGGTATTTCTCAACAGAAGTTAAAGAATAAAAAACACAAATTTTAAAAATAATTGTGTTGACCCAATAAACTACTTAAAATGCTAAGTATGAAATATATACATTTTTAATAAACAAAAATATCAAGGTAAAAAAGCTATTTTTATTTTTTACTATCAAGTTTAAATTATTTTTCAATCAAAATGTAAAGGAAACATTAAATCCAGTCTTTATACTCTTTACTCTCATACATATAAATATGCTAATAGTCATATGCAGTTATTAATGTGCATTCTTTTCAATTAGGCATAACACATACTGCAACATGAAAGCAAATTTGTTGGTTCTTAGTCAATATTACAAATAATATCCCAAACAAGTAAAGAATTATTGAACCCTGAAATGGCAGGAGACAGTGAAACAGTAATCTATATTGAGCTACATTTAATCACAGCATCAGTGACTCAATGGTTTTAACATAGATGCAGACTCCTTAAGGTTTCATTAAATTTATTCAGCTCTGTCTCTGTTTCAATAATATGCACCAGTTATTTATAGACTCAAAATAAAAGTACTAAAGTAAGCATGATAAAGTTTTATGTAAAAATGTTTGATGCTACATAAAATAAACACAACAAAATAAAACTCCATTTCATTTTACTACCCTATGAAAGAGTGAATACCTGATCTGATTCATAAATTTGTTTTCATCTTCTTTTAATGGAATATGTGCAAGAAATGTATTAAGTATGAAATAATAGAAATAATAGAATTTCTTTGTTTTATAATATATCCTAACTAGGCTGAGGAACATATAAACCAGTCATATGAACACACACATGCACATATGAATCCTCTATGTGCTTACACATAAAGTAGATTTCAATATATAATATACAACTACATATTTATATGCTTATATATTTGCATAAAAAGCTTTTATCATTACTTTTTTTTAATCAAGAAAGTAACCAAGAATTAGAATTAATGTAGCACTCTGTGAACAAGAATTCATTTGAAGCACTTTTTGTAATAATAATATAAGCAAATGACATTAGTGAGCTACAATGTTAGTTCTCTACAATTCTCATCATGAAATTAATACTGTTTTGTTGCATAATCAAAACTCTTTGACAAACTGAACATCTCTCATTTCACCTCCTCCTATTTCCATAACCAAACCTACCAGTTACCAGCTGAAATTCTTCTGGAAAAGACACTAGTAATGGGTTACAGTGCTATTAGACTGAACAATGTCCTCCATATTTTTACTTGAGTTAGAGTTGAGGTGCTAACCTAAGAATGGCAGATCATGGCTTTATTTTGATATATGGTCCTTATAGAGGGACTCAAGTTGAACCAGGTGATAGAGAGTACATGTGTGGGTGTGTCTGTGTCTGAGCATTTTTTTAAATGGGTGGGGGATTGTCTTAGCTACTGTTCTATTGTTGTGCTTACAATTTTAGAAGGTTAGTACATTATATCATGACAGGAAGTAGACAGGAACAAGCTGGAGTAGTCACTGAGAGCTTGCCTCCTCATCAACAAGCAACAGGAAGAACAGAGACAATGGGCCAGGTGTGAGCTTTTGAAACCTCCAAACCCACCCTTAGTGACACACTTTTTCCAACAAGGTCAAACCTCTTAAACTGTCCTTACAGTCCAGAACTAGGAATCAAACCATCCTTATTCAAACTACCACTTTCCTCCCCATGGCTTCCATAGACTTGTATGAAAATAAGACAGTCACTTATCAGTTAAGCCATCAGGACTAAAAATATAAGAGCCTTCACAGCTCTTAGAATGAACCAACCATGTCAACACCAGCACTTTTGAGTTTCCAGCCTCCAGAAGTGAGTCACTATATCTCTGTTGTTTAACTCACTCTGCCAACGGCACTTCCTAGTGACACCTATAGTAATGTAATACAGAATGCAAGAGCTTTACATGGGAAAAACATGTGAGAGACATAAGGTGAACTGTACAAAGCAAGGAGAACTTGACACACTCTGACATCCAAGACAGAAACAAAGGCTAGGCATGGAGATACAGGGCCACTTAATCTTGGGAATCAAAGATCTGCTCTGCAAGGCAAATAAACAGTGATCAAAACAGGAAAAAGGTTGGGTGGTCCATAGATGCCTCCTATATCATGACTCTTCAAAGGCAGAATCAGGAGGAACAGGAATTCAAAGTCTACCCAAGACACTGAATTAGAGGCCACCTGTACCACATGCTACCCTGTCTCTGAAGAACATAAACGAACCAACAAATCCAAACCAGGGGGAAAAAATTTATCAAGAAAAAAAAAAAAAACTCATGAAAAAGCAAGATACTATAAACAGAGAGAAAAGAGAAATTGAGAAGTGATGCTGCGCAAGTCAAAGTATAAACTGTTGTATCCACTGCTCAGAGAGAGCAGAAGGAGTCATGGAAGACAAAAGTATATACTGTCCTCTGTAAGGGTATCTTAGAGTGGTGCCATTAGAAGCCACATTGTCAAAAGGAGACTAAAAGATGTGTCAGATGAAATCATGCATGTGCAAGGTAGCATGGACACAGACAAATAGGGATATTTCAATACAAAAGC